CTGCTATAGTACTTACCGACTATTGTAGTAACTAACATAAGTGATTTAGACAGGATTATGTTAGTTTGTATTGGAATGATCATGATTTCTGTAGTGATTTGCTATAAGAAACTCTGTTACCTTATTTGCCAACTATTGTGATACCATAAGCGATTTTAGGTAGGTTGTATTGTAATGATCTATATCGATTGCTGAAAAATTCTAGTACAATTGTACTTACCAACTATTATGATAACATAAGTAATTTGAACAGTTATGTAAGTTTTTGTATTGGAATAATTGCGATTTCTTTGTGATTTGCTGTAAAAAAATTGTTACCGTATTAGCTGACTATTGTGTTGATATAGGCGATTTAGAATTAAAATGATCGTGATTTCTACATCGATTTGTTGTAAAAAAATTCTATTATTCTACCTACCGACAGTTGTAGTAACATAAGTGATTCAGAAGGGATGTATTAGTTTTTGTATTGGAATGATCATGATTTCTGTAGTGATTTGCTGTAAAAAATTCTGTTACTGTACTTACTGACTATTGTGGTAATATAGGCGATTTAGATAGGATTATGTTAGTTTGTATTGCAATAATCGTGATTTCTATGGTGATTTACTGTAAGGAAATTCTGTTATCATACTTGCCAACTATTATGATAGAATAAGCAATTTCGATAATGGCAGTTAGTTTTTGTAATAGAATGATTGTGATTCTATAATGATTTGTTGTAAGAAAATTCTGTTATTGTACTTACCGACTATTAAGGTAATATAAGTGATTGAACAGAGTCATATTAGTTTTGTATTGGAATAATCGTGGTCTCTATAGTGATTTGTAAAAAAATTCTGTTATCATACTTGCTGACTATTTTGGTAACATAAGTAATTTAGACAGGGTTATGTTAGTTTTATATTTGATTTCTATAGTAAATTGCTGTAAAAATTCTGCTACTGTACTTACCGGCTATTAGAGATGTTAAGTGGTCCACGGGGAATGGGTTCGGACCGGGTCCGGACCGGACTTTTTAGGGACAGTTCAGAACTGTTTCAAAAACCAGTTCTGGTGTCACATGATATACATTTATCACATGTCCTGATTTAAAATTTACTAATTAGGTGATCAATAAGATATATACCAATTGGTGAATTTAATTAGTAAGTGTCGATGGCTTTTATCAATTTTCTTTATGCCCTTGATCAATAATCGCTGAAAGTAATATTATTAGTAAGCACCGATGGCTTTGATCACAATGTTCTTTCTATTTTTTGATCAATAATTTTTCGCTAAATCATGGCGTAATCACATCAAACTTTATAAAGGCTTTAGTGCCGATTTTTTTGCTTTTATTTAATGACGATTGTTTGCTTCTTGATTCACGACAATGATGATAGGAATTGGAGTGTAAAAGGATGGCATAAACATTCATTTAATATCAATATAAACATTCATTTATTATCAATAAACATGCATACAGTGATGCTAGCAAAACAAGTAATGTTAGTTATTGCTACCATTATAGAATTGGGCAAATACATGACATCTTGCACGATCGCAACACAATTACATCAGGCTATAACGTTACTAGTCTGAATTCTTCTCATTAACTAATGACAATTGTTCTCTTCCCCATGTTTGTTTAATTCGTATTTCTAAATCTAATAACCTTTTGATAAACCATAATACAATTGCATCAAACCCAAATGCCCCAACCTGAAACCTTTTCTTTTTGTTGGCAATTGTTTTGTTTTTGTTGGAATGCGTTTGTTTAGTTGTGATTTAATTTTTTTGATGTTTGTATAAAAGGTGCTGTTTTAGAATTTTTGATCCTCTCAAAAAATTATTAGTTGTATCATGTCTGTGAATAATTCTGAAAATAACAATTCTAAAGAATTAGATTCTACACCTACCTTTGATATATATTCTCTTTTGGATAAGGAGTTTATAGTCGAATTAAGCAGTGATTCTAATACAGAAGCAAATGCTGATGGATCGGATGAACCACCTTCTAAATGACATAAACATGCGTATTCTCTTTGGAAGTATTTTACTCAATCTGCAAATAAAAAATCTATTCAATGTAGCTTGTGCGAAACTAAGTATAGAAATAAAACCGGCATAAGTACAATTAAACGACACTTCGAAAGTATCCATAAACCTGAATACAATCAAGTACTTCAATCTTTGACCCCACGAGTTGTAGAATACTATGGCGTTCGTGATGAAGCAAAAGTCAAAAAATTAAATAGACTTTTGGTACGATGGATAATCTGCAACCAACAAGCATTTTGTGTGGTTGAAGATGAAGACTTCTAAATATTTGTCTTTGAACTTGACCCCGCTATAGGCTTTCTACTAGGCAAACGATTTCAGTTTACGTCTGGCAGCTGTATGAAAAAAAACGTGAGCAATTGCGTAATTTTTTCAGAAACTATGGGCATAAGGTGTCAATTACAACCGATGCATGGTTTGCATGTACAAACCAAGTGTTCCTTGCAATTACTTTGCATTGGATCAATGACGAATGGCAGTTGCGCCATATACTCCTAGACTTTATCCCCCTACACGAACACCATACAGGTGGTTTTTTGGCTGACACGATCTTCAAAATAATCGAAGAATTTGGCCTAGGAAGAAAAATCTTGTCAATGACTGCTGACAATGCTAGTAACATGGATGCCTGTGGTTAACACCTCTCCCGTATGTTAGAATATCATTATAATAATACTGCTTTTTGCAGGTTGCGATGCGCTGCCAATATACTTAACCTTGCCGTCGTTAATGGTCTTTCTATAATTGATGAATCTACTAAAAAAGCGCAAGATTTCACAAGTCATGTTCGTCGCTCCCAACACTGCCTAGAAGAATTAAAAAAAATCTTCGCAATAAAGAATCGACCATTTTTAATTTCTGAGCTCGATTGTGAAATCCAATGGAACTCGCTGTATTTAATGTTAAGTAAACTACATAAAATAAAAGATATGATAGATATATTAGTGGTTTCAATGCCACATCTTAAACAACAATTTATGACCGATCAAGATTAGAATAATATTAGAACCATAATGGCGTTGCTAGAGCCCATTTATGAAGCTACTAAATTACTTTCCTCGTTAACCCACCCAACTATTGAAGACGTGCGCACGGTTTTTTTTGTAATAATTACACATCTTACCGAAGCTAAAAATGATTTGAATTCAATAAAATCGCGTATTTCAAATAAAATTCTTGAAAAACTCAACAAATATTGGGACGAATTACAATCCTCTCTTCTAGAATCTGTATTGCTTGATCCATCGTCAAAATTTTCTACTTTTCATTCTACCTCTGAAAAAGATAATGTATGTCAAATAATTGCTAAAACTTATAAAACTACGCCCCCTTTAATAAAGAAATGACTATCGCCATGCAAGTTCCAGAATCGAATCAGTTCAGTTCAGCTCGTGATTACTTTCAAAATCAGCTAAAACGATCCTATAATGATATATCAGTTAGTTGTAATGTGTTAGATGAATACTTGAATATGCCTGATGAAAATGTAGATACTCTTGTGTTTTGGAAATCAAAATCTTTCAATTTAAAGTGGGCGCCTCTTGTTAAAATGGCTCGGGATTACCTGATTGCACAGGCAACCAGTGTCCCGAGCGAACAGGCCTTTTCACTTGCCAAGCATACAATAAGTCCAGAGCGAAACCGCTTGGTAGATGAAAAGGTTTGTGCAAGTCTCTGTTTAAAAACGTGGTATAATGCAGGAATAGTAAAAAATTTAGAGCTTTCAAATTAGTATTTTATGTATATGCGCTTTTTAATTATAATAATGGTAAAGTCAGTAATAAAGAGTATATGATTACGTATTAAATGCTAGGGTAGGACTAATTCTTTGCAGGGGGTAAACCAGTTCTTAACTAGTTTGGGACTAGACTTTTTAGGACTAGACCGGGACCGGACCGGACGCACCACTTAACATCCCTACCGGCTATTGTAGTGAAATAATTGATTTAGATGAGGTTATGTTAGTTTTGTATTGGAATGATTGTGATTTTTACAATGATTTGTTGCAAAAAATCCTGTTACTATACATATTTGCTGACTGGTGTAGTTGTGTAAGAGATTTAGATAGGATAAGTGCTTTCCTGTAAAAAAATTTTGCTACTATACTTACCGACTATTGTGATGACAAGTGGTTTTGTTAATTGTGTTGGAATAATCGTGATTCTAAAATTCTGTATTATAATTTCAAGAAGCACAAAATTGCTACAGTACCGAACAGTAAAACACATCCAATGTTTATTAGTAAAAACTTTAAAGTGTTATAACTTTTTTAAAACAAGCTAAATCAAAAA